GAGGAGGAGGAGGAAGAAGAGGAAGAAGAGGAGGAAGAAGAGGAAGAAGAGGAAGAAGAAGAAGAAGAAGAAGAAGAAGAAGACGAAGAAGACGAAGAAGAAGAAGAAGAAGAAGAAGAAGAAGAAGAAGAAGAATAAGAAGAAGAAGAAGAAGAAGACGAAGAAGAAGAAGAAGAAGAAGAAGAAGAAGAAGAAGAAAAAGAAGAATAAGAAGAAGAAGAAGGAGAAGAAGAAGAATAAGAAGAAGAAGAAGAAGAAGAAGAAGAAAAAGAAGAAGAAGAATAAGAAGAAGAAGAAGAAGAAGAAGAAAAAGAAGAATAAGAATAATAATAAGAAGAAGAAGAAGAAGAAGAAGAAGAAGAAGAAGAAGAAGAAGAAGAGGAGGAGGAGGAGGAGGAGGAGGAGGAGGAGGAGGAGGAGGATCGATCGATGATCGAGGTTCGGGATGTGTTGGGTCGTCTGGTTGGCCTTCCGATGCGTCCGCCCACGGGCTGGGCATGGCCCGGCAGTCTTGCACGGCCCGCCGGCCCCGAGGCGCAGGTCTCAGGAGGGGAACAAAGCACGCAGGCATAGTTCATCGTCGATCCCCAGGAAAATATGGGAAGGGGGGAGAAGACGAAAACCCATAAAGTATGGGAAAAATTGGGGAATCCTGTGATCTGTGTGTATTTATTTGTGTGTGTCCTGGGGCCCCTTCAAGGTCGACCCCCTCACGGCTGCCTGCCCGCGGCGGGGGGGCGAGGGCGCAGGCAGGGCACCCTGCAGGCGCGGAGGCTGATCGGCGGAACCAGGGCACCCTGCAGGCGTGGAGGCCGATCGGCTTCGTTGGCGTATGGTTAGCCATACGTGAAGTTAAGTCGGGCCTGTCCCTCGACAGGGGGAATATTCAAAAATAGTTTAGAAATAGTCTGGGGGGACTATGTTTGAGCATTTTCGGAGTATTCTTTGAGTATGTTTAATGTTTCGCCCAAAATCCCCCTGTAGGGGGACAGGCCCGACCTAAACTTACAGTGGGGGCGCGCATCCTGGGTTTCTTCGCTCCGCGCTTTTGCGCGGTGGCTTCCCGCAGCCGTTGGAGAAGCTGCTGCGTTCAGGGTGACCCGGGTTTCCCCTCAAGTCTTTAGTGTCGGGTTTTTGTTGCGAGGGTTTCTCGCGATTGCGCCCGCACTGTACATCCTAGAGCCGCTGTCATCATGCCGCTCTAGTTCTCTTAGATGGGGTCGGAGGAGATGGGGTCGGAGGATCGCGCCGCGTCGCCGATGCATCGCCGATGCGGCTCGATGTGGAGCCCGATTTGCTTCACGCTGTCTTTGCCGATGCATCGCTGGCGTCGACGATGCATCGCCGGAGCATCGCCGCTGTATCGCCGATGGATCGGCGATGCGGCGCGATCCTCCGACCCCCATCTATTCCGACCACATCCAGGAAGCCTCTACCAGTTGGCTCAACGTTGGCTTCCAGAACGGCCTTGCACCCTTGCTGCTGCTCTCGGCCGCGGCAGCTCTGGGCTCGGCAGCTCTGGGCTGCCCGTGCGGCCGGCGACGGCCGCGCACGACGGTGGGGCGGACAGCCAAGGGGCGGGCACTACACGCATGCGCTGGGGAGCTTCGTCGAAGGCATGGGCGGTGGTCGGAGCGCCTGGATACGTGTAGTGGTCTGGACCGGTCGATCGCGCGGGCGCGTCCTCGGGCCGCGCGTCGTCGTCGTCGTTGTCGACGTCGTCGTCGTCGTCGTCGACGTCGTCGTCGTCGTCGTCGTCGTCGTCGTCGTCGTCGTCGTCGTCGTCGTCGTCGTCGTCGTCGTCGTCGTCCCCCCAGGCTCTCCGACCTCCCTGCAGCCGCCGACACGGTGTTTCTGGGCCCCGATCTCCCCCCTCCGAGGAGTTGGTGCGTCGGCCGGCCGCTGCGCCAGGTGCCCAGACGTCCAACCCCTGGAGCACGCAGGGTGGCGGGCTTTTCGCTCGCAGGTTCCGGCCCCACGGGGCCCTCCTCCTTCTCCTCCTCCTCCTCTTCCTCCCCTCCTCCTCCTACTCCTCCTCCTCCTCCTCCTCCTCCTCCTATCCTCCTCCTCCTCCTCCTCCCCTCCTCCTCCTCTCCTCTCCTCCTCCTCCTCCTCCTCCTCCTCCTCCTCCTCCCTCCTCACCCCCTCCTTCTTCCCTCGAGGAGCAAACAGCGACATCAAACAGCGACTCTTCGGAGGACCGCGGGCGCGCATGCTTCTTGGAGATGGGCGCTGGAAAGCCCCCTGGCGGCCGGCGCCGCCCCTGGCGCGCGCTCCGCGCGCCAGGGAGGGGGGACGCCAGCGCCGATCCAAGAACAGGGGAACGAATAATGGCATAAACATAACCACTCGGAGGTCCGCGCGGATTTCTCGGATCGGCGCTGCACCCCCTTCCCTGGCGCGCAGAGCGCGCCAGGGGCGGCGCCGGAGGCGCCGCCAGGCGGGTCCAGCGCCGATCCGAGAAGTCCGCGCGGATCTCCGAGTCTTTATGTTTGTGTCATTGTTCGTTCCCCTAAAGAAGTCAGCGCGGATATCCGAGAGCTTATGGTTGTGCCAGTTGTTGTTTCTCGATTCCCCGTCCTCAGGAACGTTCCCAACGAAGCCTCGGGACTTTAAGTCCAGCCTTGGGGGGAAGGGTCTAGACTTCGGGGAAGCAGTCCAGACTTCCGACGTCTGTTCATAGTTTCGGCGTGTTTCTTTGGGCAGGGCATCCCATAGAAGTCGCTGAACTTCAGGCTCAAGGAACGTTCTTGCATATTTGGCGTTTTTTTCATCTCCCGCCATTCTGATGTGCGGCGATTGTTCGGCAAACAATGGTCGGCAGCAGCGACCATCCTGCATACACATGTTTTTGGCGTCGGCGGCTAGGCAGAGGGACTGCGCTGGCGAGTAACTGCACACACACACACATACACACACACACACACACACACACGCACGCACACACACACACACACACACACACACACACACACACACACACACACACACACACGCTCGCATTAGTGGCGCCGCGAGGGGGATTGGCAAAAGGGTGGAACCCTGACCCCCAGTCGGCTGTTCGTCGCCCCACCCTGCCTGGTGCCAATCTATGATACAGGCCGTTTTGTCCTCCCCTCCCCCCTGAAGCAGTCCCCCCTTGTGCCAGGCTCTTTAGACGAGAATGGGGAGGAGGAGGAGGAGGAGGAGGAGGAGGGAAGTGGGCATCAGAGCACGACACGCGACGAACCAACTGCCCCATGGAAGACGCCGACATCCGACACTCGAGGGAGGAGAGGGGAGAGGAAGAGGGCAAGAGGTAGCCCAAGATGCATCAGCGATGCTGCAATACACCCTCCTGTCCCAAGTCCCCTCCTCATAAGTCTCTAGAAGGCTTCCCATCCAATACAAGGAGCGTCCCCGCTGAAAGATACCATTCAGGCGAGTGCCTTTCTTTGAGCCAGAATGCGAGCAGGTATGAACATACAGTTCTATGAGGTGTCCAGCGAGATCCCGGCTTGGGAAAAGGGACCGCTACTATGTATACTTGTCGCGCGTGCTCACATTTCTGATCATGAATTTCGAGGAGGTCTCACGCTAGAGTCCGATGTTTAAAAGAAGCCAGCCTCCATCCGTACAGCTGTAGGCTGTAACACAGATTCGAGCTTCTGGCTTTCGAAGTTACATAAGTATCAAGCGAAAGCCCCGATGTTGAAAAGGAGCGTTATCCATCCCTGAAGCTGGTGCAAATGTGTAAGACGAATGTGCGCGGAGTTCGAGCGCCCCATTTTGAAAATCAACCTTCCAGCATCCTTGAAGCTCTTGCAAACGGTTGAAAAGAATGTGCGCTGCGTTGCGGCGAGAGCTCCATTTTTAAGACGACCCCATGTGTGTAGCTGTTGCAGGCTTCAAGCTTCAGGATCAGAAGTGGCGACGAAGTCTGCGGTCTTAAGCCTGGGCCGCCCTGCCGGTGCGTCTGGGGTTGCGACAGGCAGGAGTTTCTAATTCAGTGACAGGGAAGGAGACGTGCGATGTCCAGGTTTGTTTCTGCACGCGGTCCCTGGAAGTCCTGACCATTATTTCCTCAGGACCGGCTTTTCATCCTGAGCCGATCTTCAACGGCCTTGGGCCTGGCGAGGTAAGTCATCCGTCATGTTTTCCACAGCGCGGGAAGGTTTGGGAAAGGAAGGAGGAGGAGGAGGAGGAGTATAGGAGGAGGACGAGACGGAGGAGAAGGTGGAGGGGAAGGGGGAGGGGGAGGGGGAGGGGGAGGGGGGGGGAGGAGGAGGAGGAGGAGGAGGAGGAGGAGGAGGAGGAAGAAGCAGAAGCAGAAGAATAATAAACATAAGCATAAGCAGAAGAAGAAGAAGACGAATAATATTAATAATACTAATAATACTAATTATACTAATAATAATAATACTAATAATAATAACAATGATAATAATAATACTAATAATACTACTAATAATAATAATAATAATGACAATACTAATAATGATACTAATACTAATAATACTAATAATAATAAGACGACGAATCATACTAATAATAATAAGAATAATTCTAATACTAAGAAGAAGAAGAAGAAGAAGAGGAGGAGGAGGAGGAGGAGGAGAGGAGGAGGAGGGAGGAGGAGGGAGGGAGGAGGGAGGAGGAGGCGGAAGGAGGAGTTATAGGGGGAGGAGAGGAGGAGGAGGAGGAGGAGGAGGAGGAGGAGGAGGAGGAGGAGGAGGAGGAGAAAGGAGGAGGAGAGGGAGGAGCGTCCAATGTTCCACGGCGCGAGCAGGAAAGGGGGAGGACGAGCAGCAACGGCGATGACCTCCCCCACCCGAGAGCACCCCCAATGGCGGGCTGCCACGGCTGCTCCCCGCCGCGGCAGGCCCCCGCGCTGGAGGTGCCCAGCCACCTGGTGCACGTGCAGAGGCTCGGCGCGGGCGCCTACGGGGAGGCCCCGCGGGGGCTGGAGGAGGGGAGGAGGGGAGGAGGGAGGAGACAAGGGGGACGAAAAAAGGGAAGGGAGGAGGGAGGAGGAGGGGGGAAAGGGAAAGAGGGACGGGAGAGGGAGGAGGGAGGAGGGAGAAGAGGAGGGGGTGGAGGGAGGAAGAGGGAGGAAGAAGAGGGGGTGAGGAGGGAGGAGGAGAGGAGGAGGAGGAGGAGGAGGAGGGGAGGAGGAGGAGGAGGAGGAGGAGGAGGAGGAGGAGGAGGAGGAGGAGGAGGAGGAGGAGGAGGAGGAGGAGGAGGAGGAGGAGGAGGAGGAGGAGGAGGAGAGAGGAGGAGGAGGAGAGGAGGAGGAGGGGGGAGGAGGAGGAGGAGGGGGAGGGGGAGGAGGAGGAGGAGGAGGAGGAGGGAGGAGGAGGAGGAGGAGGAGGAGGAGGAGGAGGAGGAGGAGGAGGGGGAGGGGGAGGAGGAGGAGGAGGAGGAGAGAGGAGGAGGAGGAGGAGGAGGAGGAGGAGGAGGAGGAGGAGGAGGAGGAGGGGGAGGAGGACAAGCTAGGTGCGCTCGCGTCATATCTGACATCCTACCCCTCCCTCCCATCCCTTAACCATGGCGCAGATCCCCTCTCTACTCGCTCAGTCGGATGTCGAGCAGGGCAATGATCCCGAAAGGGTACGCGATGCATTGTAGAGCACGGCATGGCATGGCGTAGAAGAGCACCGCAAAGCGTAGTATCAACCTAGCATTGCATTGCATGCCGTGGCATGGCACGGGAAATGACGCCAGCGCTGCAGCGGGAGCACGAGTCGAAACGAGCGGAAGCGCGGAATTGAGGCCAGCGCTGCAGCGGGAGCACGATTCGGAACGAGCGGAAGCACGGAAATGAGGCCAGCGCTGCAGCGAGGGCATGATTCGGAACGCGCGGGGCCCGAAAATGAGGCCGGCGCCTCAGCGAGAGCAGCATTTTGAAACAAATGCAGGCGAAAACCCAAATTCGGGGGAAACCTGTGTGTGAAAAACAATACGCGGGGGGGGTCGGCCACTTTGAAACCGTCATCAGGGGAAGAGGGAGAGTAGTATTCATATTAAGTGATTGTGGAGGAGGAGGAGATGGAGGAGGAGGAGGAGGAGGAGGAGGAGGAGGAGGAGGAGGAGGAGGAGGAGGAGGAGGAGGAGGGGGAGGGGGAGGAGGAGGAGGAGGAGGAGGAGGAGGAGGAGGAGGAGGAGGAGGAGGAGGAGGAGGGAGGAGGAGGAGGAGGGAGAGGAGGAGGAGGAGGAGGAGGAGGAGGAGGAGGAGGAGGAGGAGGAGGAGGAGGAGGAGGAGGAACAGGAGGAAACAGGAGGAAAAGGAGGAAAGGAGAAACGGAGGGAAAAGGAGGAAAAGGAGGAAAGGAGGAGGAGGAGGAAAGGAGGAGGAGAGGAGGAGGAGGAGGAGGAGGAGGAGGAGGAGGACGAGGAGGAGGAGGAGTAGGAGGAGGAGGAGGAGGAGGAGGAGGAGGAGGAGGAGGAGGAGGAGGAGGAGGAGGAGGGAGGAGATGGAGATGGAGGAGGAGGAGAGGAGAGGGAGGAGGAGGAGGAGGGAGGAGGAGGGGATGGGAAGGGGAGGGAGGAGGAGGGAGGAGGAGGGAGGAGGAGGGAGGAGGAGGGAGGAAAGAGGGACGGAGGAGGAAGGAGGGAGAAGTGGAGGGGATGGAGGAAGGAGGAGGGAGGGGGAGGAGGGATGGGGGGAGGAGGAGAGGAGGAGGAGGAGGAGGAGGACGAGGACTACGAGGACGAGGACGAGGAAGAGGAGGAGGAAAGGGCGCCAGTCCAGCGTAAAACGGGAGGAAGTCTCGGACGGGAGCGCTGGTTTTGGTTGGACGGGGGCTGTCGGCGGCAAGCAAGAGCACCGCCTTGAGTAAAAAAGGGAGGAAGTCTCGAGCGGGAGCGTTGTTGTTGCTGGGAGGTGGCGCCGATGAGAGAAAGAGTAGCGCGCCTGCCCAAGGTAAAACGGGAGGAAGTCTCGAGCGGGGGCGCTGGTTTTGTTGAGACGGCTGCTTTCGGCGGAGAGCAAGAGCACTGGCCATGAGTAAAAAAGGGGGAAATCTCGAACGGGGGCTTTGTTGTTGTTGTTGGGGGGGTGGACGGTCCCCCAAACCGTTTGAAAGTGATCCTCATTTTCAATGAAAACGCAGCCGGCGCCTCGGCGAGAGCGCCAGGGCGCCTGTAAGGGGTCCAACAATAATAATTGGTTAGTAATAAACATTCAACAATCACAGCAATCCAAAAAAACGTTCGTGCACATGTATGGGGCCATGATGCGTTCGTTGCCTGAGCCCACCGCTCTAGCGTGCACAGAGGAGGGCCGGGGCGAGAGCGAGGAGCGGCGAGAGCATGGAGGGGGGGAAGAAGGAGCATGCTGCGCGGCCCATGGTCGTGGCCCGGGTCTGGGGCCCATGGTCGTGTCAGGGAGTTTTTCGGTTATACGCTATTCGTAAGAGTGACCTTTCGCCGGAGTGACCTTGAGTGCAGGCACACTGGAGACCCGGTATGGGCACATTGGGGTTCCCAGATAGTTTAATGCCATGCGATGGCAGCGGTTTGTGCGCTCCGGTTCGGCTTCCCCGCGGCCCCTGTAATTCGCGCACCAAAGGTCACTGTTGCCCAGGGTCGCTCTTACGTGTAGCCGGCGGAGGTGCCCGTGATCGTGTTCGGATGATTTTGCGCGATCGTTCCCATACCACGCTGTGTTTACGCATGCCGAAGCACCGAAGCACCACGTGCCGTTAATCCTGCAACTCGCCAGGCCAGTAGGCGAAAGGACTTTCGAGGTGCAAGCGCCCGTATGGATTTCACCCTAAGCCCTACACGAGGAGGAGGAGGTGGGAACATGGAGGAGGAGGACGAAACGGAGGAGGAGGAGGAGGAGGAGGAGGAGGAGGAGGAGCAGCAGGAGGAGACCAGAAGGGGGAGGGCAGGCCTCTTGCTGCGCCCCCCCGCGACAGGTGCATCTTTACGAGGACACGGCGAGCAAGGACAAGGAGAAGGTGGCCCCGGCTCGGGTTCCCCGTGGTCGTTCCGGAAGAGGACGACCCGGGCACCCCCGGACCGCTCCCAGCGAGGCGCGGCAGGAAAGCCTCCCGGAACCGACGACGACGTCCGAACACGTGTAACCCCCGTCTCTGGCGCGGAGACGAGGTTGTCACCGAGGGCCAGCCCCGCCCAGGGTCGCCCGTGCGTGCAGCCCAGGCTGGCAGAGAAGCCCATGCCACAGCGGCAGCTCCCGCGGCCGCGAGCCCGAGCAGGAGGAGGGCGGAGGAGGAGGAGGAGGAGGAGGAGGGCGAAGGAGGAGGGCGGAGGAGGAGGAGGGCGGAGGAGGAGGAGGGAGGAGGAGGAGGAGGGAGGAGGAGGAGGAGGAGGAGGAGGAGGAGGAGGAGGAGGGCCCAGCGCGCGGGGCGGACCTCCTCGCCGCGTCGCCACCGTCCTCGATCGTTCGCGCCCGCGCGTCCTTCGAGAGGCCTTCGGGCGTGTCCGTCGGTTGCGGGAGGTTTTTCAGCCTCGCGATAACCTGAGGTCGGGCGTGTCCCCCTACAGGCGCACTTTGGACGACAAATTACTGATACCGAAGAAATATTCAAAAACACCACACACACACACACACACACCAAAAAAAACACTTGAATAACCGTCCCCTGATTATTTTTCTAACTATTTTTGATTTTTCCTCCTGTAGAGGGACAGGCCCGACTAAACGATAACCCTCCTGCAGTTGGGACCTCGCCGAGGGCGTTCCGGGGGCGCCCGAATCATGCCGAGCGGCCGCTAGACACCCAGCTTGTGACCCGAAAGTTGGACTTCAGAGAGAAGATCACGGCTCACGTTTTGTTGTGCTGGCCATGTTCTGCCTCGGGGGCCTGTGCAGGTGCCCTGGGGCCGTCAGCAAAACGACTCGGGGTGGAAAGCCGGTTCTGGGAACTGCGAAGAAGAAGGTGGATGTCTAGGCATGTCGCAGCCGTGGTGCCGCGGCAGTGGGCTGGGTGCTTTCTTTCGGCCGCGCCCTGCGATCCCGGGCCCTCGGAGGTGTCAGCCAGGCTGATCACCGGATTGATCGGCTCCACGTGGCCAACATTGCACGGTGTCCACGAGGAAACCTGGATTTCGAAGCGCGCGGTGAAGACAAGGGCCAAGGTGGCCAAGGGGCGGTGAGGGCGCGAGGCCTCGAGGGAAAGGTGTCTTGATCCTCCCCTGCCTCCTCCCTCCTTCCTCTCCACTCCTCCTTCCCAGTCCTTCCCTCCTCCTGACGGCCCTGGGGCCCCGTCAGGGCCCCCGGAGGCGGAAAACAGTCAAAAACTTCCCGTCGCGAGGAGGAGGAGGAGGAGGAGGAGGTGGAGGAGGTGGAGGAGGAGGAGGTGGAAAGGGAGGTGGAAAGGGAGGGGAAGGAGAAGAAGGACGACCGAAAAGAGACAAGACCCGTCCGCCATGATCGGCCCCCCCCCAGCGCCGGCGTGCCGCCCTCCACCCACGGGCCGCAGGTGTCGGAGGCGGCCAAGAGGGGGGTCAAGTCGGGCCTGTCCCTCTACAGGAGGAGCATTCAAAAGTTGACAAAAAGATCGTCAGGGGACGATTGCTCAGTATGTTTGAATGGTTTATTTGTTCGATATTTTCCGAGTATGTTCTATGGTTCGTCGAAAATCCGCCTGTAGGGGGACATGCCCGACCTTTAAGACTAGGGTGGGCGGACATCATGGCGTGGGCCATGACATGTCCTCAGACCTCATGGCGCCTCTTCTTGTTTAATTTCGTCCCGCGCACATGGCGCCGGCCACTATCTGCGCCCCCCCCTCTCGGACGCCCCCCTCCTTGGCCGCCCCCGGAGGTGGCGGTGAAGTGGATCCGCGACTTCACCCGGGACCCGCTGACGGGCAAGCGGATCCTCCGCGAGGCGTGCCAGTGGCCTCTTTGTCCCACGGCCTCGCTTCGGCGTTCTCATTTCCGACGGGGGTTCGCTGGAGCCGGAGCGTCTGCGCGGCACAAATAGGAGGTTGATAGACCTCCTACCCTGACACGTCGATTAGCGAATTGGCCGTGTTCGGTTCGCGAGAGGGCGTCGCGGCCGTCATTTTTGTGGGGCCAGGTCCGTCGGTTTCGGTCATGGGCCGTGGTCACCAAATGAAGGTTTACTAAAGGGAGGTTTGTCCACCGCCGAACGAAACTCAGAGGAGGCAAAGGTACCCATACCTCTACCCTTCGGCCGTTTTCCCGTTTTTTGTTTAGCCTCCTGGGAGGCCCTCGTCGCGGCACAAAATGGGTCCAAACACATGTGTTCAATCATCGGCGAACAAAGAATCACATAAACATAACAACGCAAAGGTCCGCGGATTTCTCGGATCGGCGCTGGGACCCCCTGGCGGCGCCTCCGGCGCCGCCCCTGGCGCGCTTCGCGCGCCAGGGAGGGGGGTCCAGCGCGCCCAGAAATCCGCGCGGACCTCCGAGTTTTTGTGTTTATGTCATTGTTCGTTCCCCTACATCAGGCTACAGGGCTTTCGCGCAACAATCTCTTCCAGCCTCTCGTTCTCATCGCCCTCGTCCCCCAATCGCGTTCGATTCCCGAGTGTAAGGTCGGACCCGCCGGCCGCCAGCCGCCCAGTTGCCCCAGTCTATCACGACGGATGGTTTTTGCTGCCGTTCTCGTTCATGAATTTGGAAGTTGTGTTAAGTCGGGCATGTCCCTCTACAGGAGGAAAGTTCAAACATAGCAAAAAAGAAATAGTCGGGGGACGATGTTTCTACAAGTGTTTGGATATGTTTGAACATTGTTTGGGTATTGTTAACTGTTCGTCCATTGTTTGGGTATTTTTAACTTTTCGTCCAAAATCTATCTGTAGAGGGGCATGCCCGACCTAAAAGTTGTGGGTTCTTCTGTCCGCGTCCTCCCCTCGAGGTTTTTGGACGTCTGTGGGCCTTCCCGGGGCGCGCTCGTGGCCACGACTCGAAGCACTTGATTGAGGATGGTTGCGCCTCGTAAATTACTAGGTGGCAGTTGCTGGTATTCCCTTGCGTCTAACCTTAAGTCGGGCATGTCCCTCTACTGATGGGAATATTCAACAATAGTCCAAAAATAGTCTGGGGGCGATGTTTCTATTGTTCCCGATCCTCCTGTGAGTTGGGTCTTCGTTTTGACAAGAAAGCGCCCCGCGTCCTCACTCCTCCCGCTCCTCTTCTCATCCTTCTTCCCCTTCCCAAGGGAGTTCCACCGAGGACTCCAGTGGATGCGTTAGCATAGCGTCGCCCCTTCCATGTCGGCACACCCCTCACACGTTTCCTGCCTCCCAGTGAGCTCCACCGAGGGCCCCAGTGGACGCGTTCGCATGGCGGGGCCGCGCCCAGTTCGGCACACCCCTCACACGTTTCCTGCCCCCCAGGGAGCTCCACCGAGGGCCCCAATGGGTGCGTTCGCATGGCCGCGCCGCGCCCAGTTCGCCACACCCCTCACACGTTTCCTGCCTCCCAGGGAGCTCCACCGAGGGCCCCGGTGGATGCGTTCGCATGGCGGCGCCGCGCCCAGTTCGGCACACCCATCACACGTTTCCTGCCCCCCAGGGAGCCCCACCGAAGGCCCCGTCCCTGTGCATTGAGTCGTCCCGTTTATATACGTCCTTTGATGAGGAAGGCTTGGGTTCTTCACCAGGCTAGTTCTTGTTTATTTTGGTTTATGTTTGATTATTGTTGTTTTTCATCCAAAATCCGCCTGTAGGAGGACACGCCCGAGGTAAGTCTGACCTGGCTGAATCTAGAGCAGCTGATACTTCTGAGTGCTAATCTGACTCAACACCGGGCCCGATCGGTGCTAATCTGGCTAAACAGCCCCTTGACCGTGCTTGATAGCGAACAGCCCTTGGATAAGCGGTTCCCACGAAGACCTCCCAGGTCTTGTTTTTTGAGCTTCCGGCCTCCTCCTCTCTTCGTCCTCGTCCTTCTCTGCCGCGTCACTCCTCGCTCAGATCTGGGTGTCTTCTCAGATTGCAAGAAAGTGGTAGTGTTAGCGAGCAGGCCAACAGTTGTACAGCTCTCGCCCAAGAAGATGTACGTTGGCGCGTTCCTCCAGTGTTATGGTCACCTGCCGTTCATTTCTGAGTGCGCTAAGGTTGATGCGCACAAGATGTAGACGATATCAGTGTACATTCCAGTGAACGTCGGCGTCGGATTAACAACCATCATGCCGGCGTTTGAGCTAAACATTTGGTTTCCATTCACCCCTCAGGCGTTGGCTTGTTGCAGGATGTGGGCACTCTTGTCAAGCATGCCCGAACCACTCTCAAGGTGGCTGCCAGCGTTCTTTCCCACCGGCCCAGCTTCGATCTTTCTGGAGCGGAGCGTGTTGCCCCTCCCTCGGTTCAGGCTCAAAGTGTTGACCATCGCTGGGAGCGTTGGGGGGGTGTCTGGAGGTGTGCCACTTGTCTCAGGGGGCATCGAGGCCTGGCCCTTCCTATTCTTGGTCGCTGTCCTCATGACGGTCAGTTGCACGGTTCCCACCAGGAAGGTCTGGGACATCGCACCATCGCTTTCGACTGTTCTGACAATCCACTGTTGTTTGTCGGTGTTGTCACTCTTCGGGAGGCCAGGTGAGGGGCTTGGCCGTCCGCTGCAGGACGCCACCGTCTCGAGCTGCCAGGCACGGGTTGAACTCTCTTTGTCGAGGCAGCCGCCCCCATACTCGTGTCAGCAGTGTGGGGATAATGTTAAACTAGACACTGTTTGTGGAGTGAGTTGTTAGGTATCCCTCTGTCTCGTACTCTGGCGTTCCGTCGGCTGCGCAAGAAGAGCCTGGACAGGCGGCCTCATCTGCAGGGTCTCTGGCTGTGCCCATCAGGGCTGGATCTAAACGCTGCTTTGCTGGACTTCGGCGGTGCTGTATGTTTCGTGTCCGGAGGGAGTTACACGAAAACAGGAATAGCAAAACGAACAACAGGAAACACAACGTTTAGGTCCAGCCTTGGTGCCCATCGCCCAGGAGCCGCCCTCATCAGCTGCTGGTGCGGCAGGCACGTCTCGTGCCGATGCTCGCTCCGTGCGCAAGCGTGCGGGGCGGTCTCTTCTCGGAGGAGAGAAGCGGCGCGCCGCTTCAGGGGAGGGCCCTGGGGTTAAGTCGGGCGTGTCCCACTACAGGGGGGATATTCAAAAATAGTCGAAAAATAGTCTGGGGGCGATTTCTGACCATGTTTGCATATGGTTGGGGTATTTGTTGACTATTCTTAATTTTTCGTCCAAAACCCCCCTGCAGGGGGACATGCCCGACCTACGCCTTGGGGTGGAGTCGGGCTCGGGATCGGACTGACGTCTTGTTCCAGGCTGGCAGCCATGCCTGTCGGCGTGCCCTGCGCCATCCTCCGTTGCAGGTGCTCTTTTCAGGCAGAAGTCTGTGTTCAGGAGCCGTTGACGTGGCTGTAAAACAACGAAAACCTCGGATCTGGGTGTAATGCGGAAATTCGGGTTGGCGGTCTCGGACTATTTGTAGATGGGCCCAGGTGAGTCCGCGAGGGGTCTGGCTCGGGCAGTGCACATGCGTTGGAGAGATGGGGGTGATGGATCCCGTCACGTTTTTCTTTCACGGGCTAGTGTTTGTCCAGGCGTCGGATCCCAGGGTTCTGCACATCTGTCCCAGACATCCAGCGTCTGGAACAAACCATGACAGAGGTGTTATGAGTTTTCGACCTCCAGCATGGGTTAGTCTTCGGGCTCGAAGACTGTGAAACAACGATTCAGGATGGAAAGCCAGCTGGGGAAATGGACAGGGCTCATGGGGGCTCCGCACTGAGAGAATGAAGACACCAGTTGTTTGGGTTCGCGTTCCTTCTCTGCCTCCCTCCCTCCTCATTGCGGTCGGGGGTGCGGAGGGGGAGTTTGGTGGCGGTAGGGGGATGTAGAGAGGGGGGGCGGAGAGGGAGGGAGGATAGGGGGAGACGGGAAGGACAGGGAGCACGAGAGGGGAGGGAGGGAGGGGAGGGTAAGAGAAGAGGGGCGGAGAAAGGATGGGAGGGAGGCGAGGCGAGGGGTCGACAAAGAGCAGATGGGGAGAGTGTGTTGCAGGCTCGCAGGGTCGCGATGATCCGAGGTGCGGCTCATGGCGGCCCTGCGGCACGAGAACTTGCTGAAGCTCACGGACCTGTTGCCCCCTCCGAACCCAGACTTTGACGACGTCTGCATCGTGATGCCCTACATGCACCTCGACTTGCATAAGGCGACGAGTGCCAATGTTTGACACGTTCCTGCGTGTGGCCTCGGCTGAGTACTTCTGGACACATCCTGGAGCCTCGGAGACGTGTGACTTCCCTTCTCCTCGGGTCTGCCGCAGTCCCCCTTGGCGGCGGGGGGGGGGGCAGCTCGCGGAGGAAGGTGGGGGAGGGGGGAGGTTGCCGTGGCAGGCAGAAGCATGGCGGCGGGGGCGGTCCGCGTGCCTGAGCAGTGATCCCAGACCCCTGCCGCCTCGAAGAAAGGGAGGCGGTGGGTTCTCTTCACCCTGGTAGTTATTCGGGAGGCCAGTTTCGGGCCTCCGGACCCTGACGAAACCTCTCGGGCACGGCCGTGGCAAGGAGTCGAGAGGTCTCTCAGGAGGGAAAAAACACACAGACACAATTAATCGTCGATTCCCCGGAAATTATGGGAAGTGGGGAGGAAGACAAAAAACCATAACAGATGGGAAGATATGGGGAAACCTTGTTGTGTGTGTGTGAGTGTGTGTGTGAGTGTGTGTGTGGGTGTGTGTGTGTTTGTGTGTGTTTGTGTGTGTGTGTGTGGGTGCGTGCGTGTGTGTGTGTGTGAGTGTGTGTGTGTGAGAGTGTGTGTGTGAGTGTGTGTGTGTGAGTGTGTGTGTGTGTGTGTGTTTGTGTGTGTGTCTGGGTGCGTGCGGGTGCGTGCGTGTGTGTGTGTGTGTGAGGTGTTTGTGTATGTTTGTGTGTGTGTGTGGGTGTGTGTGTGTGTTTGTGTGTGTTTGTGTGTGGTGGGTGCGTGCGTGTGTGTTGTGTTGTGTGTGTGTGTGTGTGTGTGTGTGTGTGTGTTTGTGTTGTGTGTGTGTGTGTGTGTGTGTGTGTGTGTGTGTGTGTGTGTGTGTGTGTGTGTGTGTGTGTGTGTGTGTGTGTGTGTGTGTGTGTGTGTGTGTGTGTGTGTGTGTGTGTGTGTGTGTGTGTGTGTGTCCCAGGGCCCCTTCAGTCTCGGGGCCCGCGCACCGATGCCTGGGATGCGGGCGGGCTCAGACTCCTGTCCGGCGGATGCCTGGGATGCGGGCGGGCTCCAGCCACGGCGGGCGCAGGCTCTTGTCCGGCCGCCGCCCCAGAGCGAGAGGGGGGGCGGGGGCACCTCGGGGGCGATGACCAGGGGGTGGGGGGGGGATATCATGGCGTGGGCCATGATAATCATAGCTCCCCGGACTTCATGGCGCCTCCTCTTATCCAGGGTAGGCAGGGTCCGCACGTGGCCCCCTGAGAGATCCCCGGTGTCTCTTCGCCAGACTTGATGGCGCCTCCTGTTATCCAGGGTAGGCAGGGTCCGCACGTGGCCCCCGGAGAGATCTCTTCGCCCGAGCGTGCGCTCGCGTGGCCGCCGTGCTCCCGGCTGGCCTGCGCCCCCGGGCCCGCCGTGGCCGGGAGGTGCGATTTGGGCCAGGAGAGCTCCTCCTCGGGGGCGGCAAGGAGGGGGGCCACGACCCCCCTCCTTGCCGCGGAGCGGAGGTGGTGGAGGAGGAGGAGGAGGAGGAGGAGGAGGAGGAGGAGGAGGAGGAGGAGGAGGAGGAGGAGGAGGAGGAGGAGGAGGAGGAGGAGGAGGAGGAGGGAGGAGGAGGAGGAGGAGGAGGAAGAGGAGGGGGAGGAGGAGGAGGAGGAGGAGGAGGGGGGGGGGGAGGGGGAGGATCGGGGGCGGAAAAGAGGGGGGTGATGACCAGGGGGGGGGGACATCATGGCGGGGGCCATGATAGTTCCCCAGACTTCATGGCGCCTCCTCGTATCTCATTGCGTCCCTGGCCCACCCCCCTGGGCCGCGCACATGCCGCCGGCCGTGATCTGCGCCCCCCCCTCTTGGACACCCCCCTCTTGGCCGCTCCCGACCTCCGCTCCGCCCCTGGCGCTCCTAGTGGTGGCATGCCTGTGTGACTGGCGAAGTCAGGGGCAACTGTAGGGGGGGAGAGGCACAGGTCGAAGAAGAACAACAACACATAAACATCAACTCTCCCCGCTCCGCGCGGAGTTCTTGGATCCTCGCTGGGCCCCCTGGCGGCGCCTCCAGCGCCGCCCCTGGCGCGCTCCGCGCGCCAGGGAGGCGGGTCCAGCGCGAATCCAAGCAATCCGCGCGTAGCGCCAAAAGTTTATACTTCTGTGTTTTTTTCTTCTTCTGATAGCGGTGCATGCATCGACCCCTAATCGCCCATTGATCGCCGATAGGGGCCCGATAGCGCCAATCTGCCCAGCAAGGTGCGGATTCACGATCGCAGGCCCTTACCGGGCCCCAGGGCTGTAAGAAACCAACTCGGGATTTGAAAAGCTCGTCCCCGGGAAAAGACCCGCACTTCCACGTGTGTGTGTGTGCGCGTGTGAAACAAACACATGCTTCGGATGCCGGAATCTCCATTTCCCTCCGTCTCGGCCCTCGCTCCCTCCTGCCTTCTCTTCCCCCTCCCTCCCTCCCTACGCCTTCATTTATTCCTTCCGCTTATAGCATTTCCCTCCTCGGGCCTCTCGCTCTCTCTCTCTCACTCTCCTCCCTTCTCTTCCCCCCTCCCTCCCTCCCTACGCCTTCCTTTAATCCTTCCACTCGTAGATCATATATCCCCATTGGGGCAGGGCCCGGCGTGTCGGTCGAGACTTGTTGATTTGTGTTACGCCTTATTGCTTACACCCTTGAAGCTACACAACAATCGAAACAGGTTTAAGTCTGGCCTGTCCCTCTACAGGGGGAGTATTCGAAGATAGTCAAAACATCGTACGGGGACATGTTTTATTAATATATGCATATATATATATATGTATATATATGGACGATTTTTATATACACACATATATTATATATATATATATATATAATATATATATATATATATATATATATAAATGTATGTGTTGGGAAAAGATTGGGTTTTAGTTGAGTATTTCTGCGCCCAACATCCGCCTGTAGGGGGACAGGCCCGACCTAAACTGCAAGGATGGACGGCAATTCGTTTCAACATGTGGCCTTCGCCGTGGCGCCACGCACGCTCGTCCTCAAAGCTAGCATCGGTTAAAGGACGGAGGCTGATATGCTGTTCAAGTGTGGTGTCCCTCTCATACCTCTTTCAAGGTGGATGACCCGAAGTTCCAAAGTGGGCAGTAATCACACGGATGGAGGTCGCCTCCTGTGTTTTGGGCGGGGCTCTCGCTTTAGATTTCCGCAGATCCTGTGACCAGAAAGCGCAGCACCGCCTGGGTAGCAGGCCCCCGGAGCGTTCGCCGTACAGTGGGAGTGAGTCCAACAGGGGGCCCTCGCGGGCCCCCAGGACCTTAAAAAAAAACAGCTCGAGATGAAAAGTTGGGTCCCAGTGAGGGGGTCCCAACTTTCGGGGAGCCACGTTGTGAACAACGCAACGTCGGGTTTCCACACAAGTCGAGATGAAAAGGCGGTTCAGGGCAGCCTTGGGGTACCCTGGACCCGTCTCCCTCAGGGCCCCAGGGGTCCATGGCAATCCTACAAATTTCCCATTGTAACAGCCATCTCCGCTCCGCTTCCCCAGCAAGCCTTTGGTGGAGCTAGGGCGCGCGGATGTGACTTCCTCTTGCCGCTTGCCGATGGATCGCATGGGGTGTCGGAGGGGGGGCAGGGGGACAAGAAAAGTGGCGGCCCGTGGCATTTGGCTCGAGAACTCCTGTGAACGAGGACGTGGTCGATTTGGAGCAGAAAAAAAGCCGGCCCTCATCGCAAAGGTCGGTCCTGGGGGCGGGAGGTGTTGAGGGCGGCAGACGCTGCCCGCGCCGGCGCCCGAGGGGTCAGCGAGTTTCGGCTGCGGTGGGCTCGTCGGGGCCAGGGAGCCTCTCTGCCCACCCGCCGTGCTCGCAAGGCGCCGTCCCTCCCGGAGGGCGGACGGCGCCTCGCCTCGCCTGGCGCGGCCGGGTCCTGCCTCGGGGCGCCGCCGAGGTGATCTATTCCAAGATGAAGTTGTCCGAGTCGCATTCGCAGGCTCGGGGTTCCTTTTTCGTCCAGCGCGCGTTCCCGCGCGCGCGCGGGGCAGGGAGGAGGAGGAGGTTGATGAGGAGGAGGGGGGAGGTGTTTCACTGCACGCTGTGTTCACTTTAAGCCCCAACGTGCCTGTCTCCTTCGCCTGTTGTCCTTTCCTGATTGCTGTGTATTACAAAGCGTGCGGATGCACGAGAAGTTAAGCCCATGTCGCCCAAGCATTTTGTTTGCGTGTCTTGCCAGCCAAATTTAGCCCGAGCAACGTCAAGAAGAAGGGGGAGCAGGAGCGAGGAGGAGGAGGCGAGCTCTCGCGCGCGCGTGCACGGGGGCAGGGACATGGAATGAGGAGGAGGAGGAGGAGAAGGAGGAGAAGGAGGAGGAAGAATGTGGAGGAGGAGGAGGAGGAGGAGGAGGAGGAGGAAGGAGGAGGGAGGAAGGTGGAGGAAGAGGAGGATCCGAGCTCGCTCGTGTGACGCGCGGGGGCGGCTCGTGTCTCAGGGCAGTGCCACTAAGCTGGAGGAGGCGGCGAACAGTCCACGAATCCATTCGCCGAGGTTGAGGCGGAGGAGGAGGAGGAGGAGGGAGGAGGAGGGGGGAGGACGGAGGAAGGACAGGAGGAGGAGGAGGTTTTAGGAGGAGGAGGAGGAAGAGAAGGCATCTGGCTTGCGGAGGCTCCGCAGTCATACCTCCTAGGCCTCGATCGTGACCAACAAGCATTATAATATCGATATATATATATATATATCTGTATATATATATCGCTACGAGTCATCGAGGACGATGATTGGTTGTTGTTTCGTGGCCTCCATGTCCTCTTGCAGGAGGGCGCGCTTTTCCTCGACCAGGAGGACTGAGGATAAAACGAGCGAGCCTCGATCCTCGAGGTCCGGGCAGGAGGCTCGGGATCCCTGCAGTCGAGAGCCTGGCCTTCCCCAGGCAGGCCTGCCCTTCCCCCCCCCCCTCCTTGCTGGGCCGACCGAGCCACGTCACGCCGTGCTTTGCACAAGGGCACCCTCGATGGCGCGAAGTTATTCGCGCTTTGCGGTTCGGCTCCGATTCCTTCTTATCCGCCTCTTCTCCCCTGGGAGGCGGCGCGAAAGCGCGAAGTTATTCGCACTTCGCGCTTCGCGCAGCGCTAAGCGCGAAGTTGGGAGCCCTTGTCCTTGCTGGGCCGACCGAGCCACGTCACGCCGTGCCTTGCACCGAGCCAGTTTGGAAACGGTATGCTCCCGAGGCGGGGAGTTTCCGCTGCACAGAGATACCCATAGATCAGACGCTCCCCAAAAAATTGGAGCGTCGGGTGTTTGACTGCTTTAACTTCCGAGGGCCCTCGCCGGGCCTCGGGAGCGTCAAAAAATAACTCAGGACGAAAACACTGCCCTATGGAAGTGGTCCAAGCCCCTGGGGCCCACACATCGGAAAAAATGGAGCGGCCAGATGTTTGGGCTTGCACGGTGCCAGTTTGGAAACTGTAAGTGCCCGAGGCGGGGAGTTTCAGCCACACTCACACACACGCACACACACACACACACACATTCCTATTCATATGTTGTTATAGGGCCGGGTAGCCCACACCCCCGCGCACACCCCCCCCGCGAACGAATTTCGAATCCTCGGGCTTGTCTTGCGCCTCTCTGCGGCCATCCTGGGGTCATCTTGACGCGCCCCGAGCCAACCGGAAGCCAAAAAGCGAGAAGGCCGAAAACATTGTTTTTCATATGGTTTTCTTTGATTTTCGTCTCTCCGGTCCCTGTTGCGCCAGCCTCGGGCCTCTTTTTGGGGGCTCGTCTGGGGACTCATTTGGAGCCCTCCTCCTGGAGCTATATCGACGTCTCAAGAGCTGATCGTAAGCGAGAAGGCGAGAAGGCCAAAAACGTTGGTTTTCTAAGGGTTTTCATTGATTTGGGGCCCTCTTCAGCCAGCCTTGGGCCTCTTTGGGGCTCGTCTGGGGATTCGTTTGGAGCCGTCCTTGGGCAATCTTGACGCCTCAAGAGCGGATAGTAAGCGAAAAGGCGAGAAGGCCAAAAACATTGTTTTTCCAATGGTTGGCATTGATTTTCAATTCTTTAGGCGTTTTTTGGCCAGCTTTTGGCCTCTGTGGGCCTCGGCTTGCGCCGCTCTGGAGCCATCCTTGGGCTATATTGACGCCTCCCGAGCCGACCAGAAGCGAAAAGACGAGAAGGGCGAAACCATTGTTTCCCCATTGGTTTTTCATTGATTTTCGAACCTCCAGACCCTTCAGGGCCAGTCTGTGCCCTCCTTCGGGCTCCTCTGGGGATTCATTTGGAGCCGTCATGGGCTTAGCTTGATGCCTAGAGAGATGTCAAGAGCCAATCGGAAGCCACAAGGCGAGAAGACCAAAAACATGGATTGTCCATTTCTTTATGGATGTTCAATTCTTTGGGCCCTCTTTGGCCAGCCTTGGGCCTCTGTGGGCCTCGGCTTGCGCCTCTCTGAGGCAATGCTGGGGTCATCTTGACGCTTCTCGAGTCATCCAGAAGCGAAAAAGCGAAAAGACTGCTTTTCCAAATTTTGTTTTCTGACTTCCGACTCTGCGGGCCCTGTTGGATTGTTGCCTTCCCGTGCCCTATTGGGCCAGCTTTTGGCCTCTATAGGGCCTGTTTTGAAAGATCTGTAGGGCCCTCCTGAGGCTGCAAGAGCCGATTAGAAGCGAAAGCGCGAGACACATTGAGGAGGGGGGAAGGAAGAGGAGGAGGAGGAGGGGGAGGAGGAGGAGGAGGAGGAGGAGGAGGAGGAGGAAGAAGAGGACGACGAGGAAGGAGAGAAGGACAAGGATCATGAGGAAGATGCAGACAGAGGAGGAGCAGAAATAAGACGAGGACGAGTAGGAAGTAGAGGAACAGGAAGAGGAGGAGGAGGAGGAGAAGGAGGAGGAGGAGGAGGAGGTGGAGGTGGAGGTTGAGGAGGAGGAGGAGGAGGAATTTGACGAAGAGGGGGAAGAGGAGAAAGAGGATGAGGAGGAGAAAGGAGAGGAAAAAAAGGGGGAGGAGGAGAAAGAGGAGGAGGATGCTTTGCTTCATGCTGGACCAACCACTCGCCTGAGACGTATTCGCGCCTCTGGGCCCCGAAACGCCCTGAATTGGCCTCGGCTGGTGTTGTCCGATCGCTCCCGCTTAGGAATTCCTCACCCATTCCGGCTTGGCGGTGGTCCGCCCCATGTCCATGCACACGCACGCCGCCTGCATTCGAAAATACAAGGAACAAGGTGCATGGCGCGAAGCGCCACTGCAGTCTTGTATATATATATATATATACACACATACACCCCGCACCCCGCAGGTAAAGATAAGAGTGCGGGGGCGGTGGTGACGTCGGCAGTCTGCGGGACTCCGGAGCAGCCCGTATGATACAACGAGCCCGACGCAGGCGCCGATTCTTTCCTCAAACCCATGTGGGTGGGTCGCGGGTGGGTAGCACATGGGTCGCAATTGTTCGCGGGGTGGGTCGCGGGTGGATCGCGGGGTGGGTCGCAGGTGGGTCGCGGGTGGATCGCGGGGGTCGCGGGTTGTGTCGTGGGTGGGTCGCGGGTGGGTCGCGGGTGGGTCGCGGGTGGGTCGCGGGGTGGGTCGCGGGGGGTCGCGGGGTGGGTCGGGTGGGTCGCGGGTGGGTCGCGTGTGGGTCGCGGGTTGGGTCGCGGGTGAGTCGCGGGGAGGGTTGTGGGGTCGGGGGTGGGTCGCGGGGTGGGTCGCGGGGGGTCGAGGGTAGGACAACGACAACAAACAAACAACAAAAACGCAACAACGCAACAGTCAGAATCCTCACCACGGATCCCCACTTGAGCCAGGCACCCAGGGGCAATGAATGGCCGTTCGGCCCCCCCCCACTCTGACAAAAAGCCCGCCGCAGGCGGCGATATCTTTGTTAAACCAATGTGATAGGTCGCAGGTGGGCCGCAAACAGGTCGCAAATGGGTTGGGGGGTGGGTCGCGGGTGGGTCGCGGGTGGGTGGTGGGTCGCGGATGGGTCGCTGGTGGGTCGCGGGTGGGTCGCGGGTGGGTCGCGGGTGGGTTGCGGGTGGGTCGCGGGTGGGTCGCGGGTTGGACGTGGGTGGGTCGCGGGTGGGCCGCGGGTGGGTCGCGGGGTGGGTCGGGTGGTCGCGGGTTGGGTCGCGATTTGGGTCGCGGGTGGGTCGCGGGACGGGACGACGACAACAAACAATCAAATAACAACAACGCAACAACGCAACAGTCAGAATCGTCACCACGGATCCCTACTTCAGCCACGCACCCACAGACAATGAATGACCGTTCGGCCCCGTCACTCTGATATCTGTATATACATATATATATACATAGATTATCATACGCACCTCTCCGAGGGAGTAGAGCTCAGATGCGATTGATGCGTACGCGCCGCGTCGTTCGCGATTTTTCTGGCCGTTTCGTTAGGGACATCTTCGAACTTGCGAACATTGGTGGCACCCCTCGCACAGATCGTGACGTCAGGTCCAAAAACACATTGGAAGTGCAACAACTTAACACAAGACCTCCAACAGCACATTTTAATTTCACTGATATTGACACCGATGTCTCGCCTGAGACACCCTCCCAACATCGAGCCCTGACGTACCCTCTGTTACCCCTGACCCCGCCGCAGAGCCTCCTGGGGGGTTCCTGGAACCTCCTGGGGCCTCCTGGGGTTTTCTGTACCTTCAGGTATTCCAGACCCCGCCTCGGAGCCTCCTGGGGGTCTCCTAGAACCTCCTGGGGCCTCCTGCGGCCTTCTGGATCCTCTTGGGGCCTCCTGGAGCCTCCTGTGGTCTCCTGGGGCCTCCTGAGGCCGCCTGGGGCCTCCTGAGGCCTCCTGGGGCCTCAGAATTACATGCGCACACACAGACACACATCACACCCAACACATCACACGCTAGACGAATATAACACACAACACCGACAACGCACAGAAAACACGCACAACACAGAGCACACATCACACACACACACAACACTCACAATCCTGGGGCCTCCTGGAGCCTTTTCTGGTAT